GCGGGAAATACCCCACCAGCAGCCACGAAGCTTAGCAACGAAACAATTGAAGGAAAACAGTCTTATGCTACAAGGGTCACTGCTTCTTCATCTTCAACATTGAACCCTACCCGACCGGAAAAAGACAAAGCCATTGCTAGACAAACGACGCACAACGAATACCAGCTGTGATATTCAAGGCCAAAGATTACTATGGCATTATGTCAGAATCTTGTAAGTACACTATTTTAGGCCGATTTCTTAAACCCCGTCCCAAAATTGATAGACTTAGGTCTAGATTCAAAGAATTGATCACTTTGAAGGGTGCTGCTAAAATTGGTGCCTACGACAACTACAATGTTTTTATCGATCTTTATAATGAAGATGATTTCAAAACTGTGTGGTTTAGATGGTGATTGAAATCTAGGGTATGCAAATGTGGCTTCAAAAATGGTCACCAGATTTCAAACCGGAGGAGGACCTCCCTATCGCTCTGGCATGGGTCCTGCTACCGGGTCTTCCTTTTCACATGCATGACTGACATTAAATCAAGCAACTCTTGAGATCTGTTAGTACACATCTAGCCTTAGATGTAGCTACGTTTGGGAGAACTAGGCCGAGAATGGCAAAAATAGAGTTGAGGTTGATTTGTTAAAATCACTACCTGACTCTGTTTTTGTTGGGCAAGAAGATGATGAATCTCCTCTAAAAGGCTATACTCGAAAACTAGAATACGAGGGTGTTCCTAAATACTGCAAACACTACAGAAAATTAGGACACAGTATGAACAATTGCAGAGCATTGGAGAAGAAAAATATTGGATCCAGTGAAAAAAAATAAAACCCCACTAAAGAGACCACTCAGAACAAACAGGATGAGGAGAGAGGCACACGAAATGGCAATATCAAGCTAAATGAGACTAATGATACATTGGTAAAAATCAGGAAAGGAGAAGGAAGATGCACTCATAGGTCAATCACAGAAAATCAGTAAAGCACAAGTCATCGAAAATAGTGAAGAAAAGGGAAAGATTCAAGGAAGTGAAGAGAACAACAACACATTCACTCTTAAGGAGCCAGAAAAATCTCATGAACCACAAAATCAGCATCAGGTACAGCAAAGGAATAAGGAAAAAAAGACTGAAAAAAGAAACCAAAAAGATGCCCAAAAAGAAAAATAAGGTAGTATTTAAGACTATCTCCATAAAGTACAAAGAGAAACAAAAGAAGGAAGGAGTTAACAATGGTAACAACTCTGAGGAGACCAAGATAAATGGGCAGAGTGCCCAATTTTCAGTCACAAACAAGAATGATAACAAAGAAGAAATAGAGGCAAAGAACAAAGAGCAACAAAAAAGAGTGTCAACAGAAGACACTCATGTTAGTAACACAGTGGAAGTGTAGAAAGAGAATGATACTCATTTTGGAGATACTAACAGAAAATAAGACCATCAAGAAGGGGATTCTAAGGCTGCTGAAATAGTTAGTTCTCCTAGTCTACCTTCAGTTATCAAGAACCAGGAAGGAATTGATATTTTTGTGGAACTTATGTGTAGCAGCAATCCAAAACAGAAATGTAATGCCAATCCTGAGGTAAATGGTGAATTTGGGAAGAATACTCCTGCAAATGGTGATACTTAGAATAAGGAAATAAGGAACAAGGGTACTATTGAGGACTATACTGAAGAACCTGTGGAGGAAAACTCCAACACTCACAGCATGATGAACAATCAACAATGCAGAGGAAGGAGACTTCAGAGACATATCAATCTCTTAAGGATTATCTTTGAAGATTCCAAATCCAGTAGAAATATTGTTCCCAATGACTCTAATGATCCTGACTACGTACAAATACAAGGAAGCCTGGATGATGTTTCATCTAGAGGAAGAAGCAGAATCAAGAAAAAAAAAAAGAAACAACAGACCTAAGTCCATATCCAAATCCAAAAGAAATGGAAAGGGACACAGACATAGTGCCCCACCGCCATCTATTCTATGATTAGTGCAATCTTTTGGAAGATTAGGGGTATAAGGGCTCAGAAATCTTACTTTTGACTCAAAAACCTTGTCAACTTTAATAAAGTGGCTTTTGTTGTTATATATGTGCCATTTATGAATATGAACAAGATTGAAGGCTACAAAAGATACTTGGGATTCCAATACTGTATGACTAACTCCAATAGTCAAATATGGTATTTCTGGAATGGATTGGATCACACCATTTGTATTGCTAACACTAATCAATAACTCACATTAAACATGAAAGATACTCCTAGTGAGAGTGGTACATTTTCCTGTGTATGCTAAATGCACCCCAATGGAAAGAGAAGACCTTTGGGATAGTATTGGCAACCTCCATAATCAAATCAGGTGTCCTTGGTGCACGGGAGGAGACTTCAATATTATCATGGATCCGGATAAGAATCTGGGTGGGTTGCCCATAGAATGTCAAAAAGTATGGAGTTTATCAATTACATGGAGGCTTGTAGACTAAGTGATTTAGGCATTAGAGGTCCTAAATACACTTGGTGCAACTATTGGAGGCCAAGTAAGAGAATATGGAAGAGGTTAGATAGAATTCTTATCAATGATGATTGGGCCCAGATTTTTCAAAGCAATAGTATTAAACATCTATCCAGGTTTGGGTCTGATCATAGAACACTTCTTCTTAAATGTCAAAACTTGAACCTGACTCGCATCAAATACTTCAAACTTACGAATTTCTGGGTGAATCAACCTAACTTTCTGGAAATCATACAAACATCCTGGAATGAAGAAGTAAGGGGCAATGCTATTTGGAGGCTTCAAACAAAAATGAAAAGGCTTAGCAAGGTTCTAAGTATATGGTCCAAGTAATAAATTGGTGATATCCAAGAACAGATGTAGGAATGGTAAGCTAAGATTGAAATTTTAGAGGAATTAGACATTATGCACAATATTGAACAGGGAAGAGAAGACTTGAACAAAAGGTATGCTGAATATACCAGATGGCTCAACATGTAGGATTCAATGCTGAAACAGAAAACAAAGCTTCAATGGTTTAAAGATGGTGACAGAAACACCAAATATTTTCAGAGTGTTTTGAGAAGTAGAAGAAGGAAACTACACATACAAAGAATCAGGAATCATAGAGGCAGATGGGGTGCAAGGATATGAAAAAGTGGCAAAGGCTACTGTCAAATACTATAGGAAGCACTTCAATTTGAATCTCACTGAATGAGACAACATTATTTTAGATTGTATACCTCGAATCATTACTGCACAAGACAATTTGATGTTGGCCAGTATGCCCTATGAGGAAGAAATCAAGCAATCAGTATTCAACATGAGCAAGGACAGTTCCCCAGGACCTGATGGGTACAATGGTATGTTCTTTCAAACCTGCTGGAATATTATTAAAAGTGATGTTACTGCTTTTATTAAAGAATACTTCTCTGGTAAATCTTTAACCAAATTTTACACACATACTTGTCTCACTTTACAACAACAACAACAACGACCCAGTATAATCCCACAAGTGGGGTCTGGGGAGGGTAATATGTACGCAGACCTTACCTCTACCCCGAAGGGTAGAGAGGCTGTTTCCAGGAGACATACTTATCTCACTTTAATTTCCAAAATTGATTCCCCCACTAGCTTTGCTGAATTGAGACCAATTAGCCTTAATAACTACACTAATAAAATTATCTCTAAGATTATGGCTAATAGATTGAATCCTCTTTTAAAGGACTTAATTTCTAAAAATCAAAGTGGTTTTGTTTCTGGGAGATCAATCACTGATAATGTAATGCTCACTCAGAAAATAGTTCATGGTATATCTAATCTCAATAAGGGAGGAAATGTTATCCTTAAACTTGACATGGCCAAAGCATATGACAGATTATCATGGTCCTTTCTTAATAAGGTTTTATGTAGGTTTGGTTTTAATGAGGATTGGTGTAATCTGATTTGGAAAAGTATCTCTAATGTGTGGTACTCTATAATTGTGAATGGTATTAGACATGGATTCTTTACTTCTTCCCAAGGTCTTAAGCAAGGAGATCCCATATCACCATCCCTTTTCATCATTGCTGCTGAGGTTCTATCCAGATCCCTAAATAGTTTGTTACAGAACAATGCCTTCATTCCTTTCTCTATGCATAGAAATGGACATCATATTACCCACTTAGCATATGCTGATGATGTTGTGATCTTTAGTAGTGGTAATACTAACTCCATTAAGTTGATCATGAAATAAATTAGGAACTATGAATGTGTTTCATGACAGAAAGTTAACATGGATAAGATTTTTTTCCTTACTGATCCCAAAATATGTCCATATAGGATCAAACAGAATTAGAACTAAAACTGGATTCATGGACAAAAACTTCCCTTTTAATTACCTTGGTTTTCCTATTTACATTAGTAGGAAAAAAATTTCTTATTTTGATAGCATGTGTACCAAGGTTATTAAAAGGTTGAATACTTGGCAAGGTAATGTGATTTCCTATGGAGGTAGACAGGTTTTGATTAAATCTGTTATACAATCTCTTCCTATTTACATTTTATCTGCCATCAATCCTCGCAAAGGAACTTTGAAGCTCATTGAGAATTATAATGTTAACTTCTTCTGGAGCACTTGTAATGGTAAAAACAAGTACCATTGGACTTCTTGGAAAAAAATTATGTTTTCTAAATAATGAATCTGGAATTGGTATCCGGGGAATGGATGATATCTCTAATACACTTACCATCAAAAGATGGTGGCATTTTAGAGTTAGTAATTCTATGTGGGCTGACTTCCTCAAGGCAAAATACTGCCCTAGGGTACATCCTGTTATTAAGAAATGGTATAGTGGCAACTCTCAAGCGTGGAAACACCTACTTTGGGACAGAGACAAGTGTGAAAAACTGATTACTTGGAATATTAATGGTGGTAATTGTAACTTTTGGTGGGACAACTAGACTGAATTGGGACCTTTAGCACACATTTGTTCAAGCTATATTAACACAAGCAACACCAAAAAGAAGGTAAATGATTTCATGAGTACTAATGGGTGGGATGCACAGATGCTATACAACACTCTATCTAGCCATATTGCATTACACATTAAGAGGATACAGTTGGTCCAGGAAAACAAAAATGATTATGCTATATGGAATGCAACTGAGGATGGTCATTTTATAAATGGTTTTGCTTGGAATATAATTAGGGATCACAGAACAATCAATGTCACAATCAACATGGTATGGCACAAATTAATTCCCTTCAAACAATCTTTCATGTGTTGGAAAATCTTCCTTGGTAGAATCCCCATTAGACAAACTATTACAAGATTGGATTCCCAAGATACTGAAGTTTGTAGTTGTTGTCCAACACCTGTCATAGAGACACTGCAACATGTATTTGTGGATGGTAGAGCAGCCGAGTATGTATGGAAAGCCATGGGCAATCCTTTGGGAATCATCTATCAACAATTACCGATCAGAGGTCTTCTTAATAGGTGGTGGAACATTAAGGCAAGAAACATAGTCCACAAACTAATATTGCAAGCTCTTTCTGTAATTATCTGTTGGGAGATTTGGAAATCTTGGGCTGCATGTAAGTATGGGGACAACAACAGCTTTTACTTGTATCGAATGGTTACTCAATGTGTTTGGAATATCAAGGAAGTTCTTCAGAATGCATCTCCTACTCTGGACACTACTGGTACATGGAGTAATCTCTGCAAATTAGTGGAGAAGCTCAAACTTGTGGTCATATGTACCTCTGTTCATTGGATAAAACCAGCACCTGGGTAGATCAAAATTAATACTGATGGCAGTTATATCAAAACAAGCAGGAAAGCTGGGATTGAGGGTATTGTGAGAAATAGCAATGGAGACTTCATCTTTGCATTTTCTATCCCGGTACAAGCCAGTAGCAGCTCGCAAACAGAAGTCATAGCAGCGAGATTTGGGGTAGAATGGTGCACTCAACATGGCTACTCTCATCTTCATGTGGAGATTGACTCTCTGATTTTCACTAACATCCTTACAAATCAGAGCACCAACAACTTGAAGCTACAACACATTATCAATGGCACAACTACTATGCTTGACAACACTGTTTCTTGTATCTCTCATTGCCTTACAGAAGCAAACCAAATTGCGGATCTGTTGGCAAAGTTGGCTTCTACAAGTGGAAACAGGACCTTATATCACTCTCATAACAACTTTCCTAAAGAGGCAAAGGGGTTGATTCAACTTGACAAATGGCAAATTCCTACTTTTAGAAGACGATATGAAAAATGTAATTTTTTTGTTAGTTAAGTTAGATTTATGGATGGAAAGGCTTTTGTATAGGCTTCACCTTTCCTTGTTTTGCTTGGCAAACTTTTTGTAGACTAGAGGCAAGGTTCCATATCTTCCTCTTGTCATTGTAAATTATTCAATATATATGGTAGGAGTCCAAGCCTAACCCCCCACACCCTAGACTCACAATCGAAAGTGATGGTTTAAACTTAAAAAACAACTTAAGATCGGTTATATGAATTTTTATTGATTTTCTCATCTCAGAAATTTGACTTTCTAATGAGTTATATTTCTTTAAAAATTAACACATGTTCACTAATTTTAATAATACAAAAGTAATTGTCACTGTATTGATGTGATTACGGGTAAAATTCAGTGACCATGTAACCCTAATTATCAATATAGTTATAACAACTCCATTCATTACTCTGCTGTGGACTACAAATGAACTTGCTGTCACTCAAAGTTGTTTGGAAAAATACACAGACAAATATTCAGATTTTGCATCAATTGTCAGTTTGATACTTAAACTTACCTAATGATTAACTAGATATATTTTCTTGGCAGAAGTGTGTCTTATGAACCCCTCGATCCACTAAACCTCATGCATGAAACAAACGAAAGCTATTGACGTGATAAAGGAATGAATCACCGAATGACACATGTAACAAGGGTACGCAGACCTTATCCCTATCCTAGGGGTAGAAAAGTTATTTCCGATAGACCCTCGGCACAAAAAAATGAAATGCGACAATAGAAATAGTAACAATAACATAACCAGAAAGATAGTACCAGCGAGCTAAGAGTCAGAAAATATACCTGGAAAAGCAATATCAATAATCAGTGCAATAACAAGGTCCTGGAAAATAGTACGAGCACAACATGTACCCTTAGCATACTAAAACACGACACTGACTGACTAGACACTACTAGAAATTCGGGTTTTAGCGACCACAAAAAGCGACCAACGTTGGTCACTTATCTCAATAGAGCGACCAAAGTTGGTCGCTTAGCTAAAATGACCAAATGTTCACTGTAAACAAAATACCGACCAACTTTGGTTGATATAATATTTTAATAATATAAATTTAGTGACCAACATTGGTCTCTACATTTAAATTACGATATTTTTTAAATGATTATATATAAAAAAATTAGCGACCAACCTGGGTCGCTAATTTCCAGGATATTTTTTTTTGATAAAATCTGGGTTTATTAGCGACCAACCTTGGTTGCCAATTTTAAATTTTTAATTTTTTTATATATAAGCGACCAATCTTAGTCGCTAATTGCCAGAATTATTTTTTTAATAGGTAAGCGACCAACTTTGGTCGCTTTTTTGAGTAATAATTTTGGCATAAAATGCCTGTTTTAGCAGCTACACCACCTGCTAGCATACCAAAACCCCTGAATAACAATATAATTCAATTCATAAACTACAATTTCAATAACAAAATCTCCACAACAACCCAACAACAACACCACCACCACAACCACTACCACAACAACAACAACAACAACAACACAACAACAACAACACAATTCAAAAAACATATTAAAACCAACAAATTAAAGTTCAATAGAACTAACAAATTAAACTAACAAAACTAAGTTAACGCTTATTACACCCAGTTCAAAATCGGTTCTATTTGTCTAGTTCAAAGTATATAAAAGTCAAGAAATATTTTGTACAACATCATTATCATCACCGTCTGATGAACTTTCATAAACAAGACAGTATACAGAAGGGTCTACTTGTCGAGGACGGGAAGAACGATCACGGGGAGGACGGGAGGAACGAGCATGGGAAGGACAAAAGGAACGGTCACGTTCAAGTCGAGCCTCTGGCGATGACTCACTAGACCGGGGAATCGAAAAACCTCCAGAAGCTAGGAGAGATTTGAGCTGCTCTTGCATGCCCTGGTACTGAGCTTGCATGCCAATGTACTGAGCATCTCTAAGCTTTTCTCTTTCCTTGGCCGCTTCTAGCTCGGATGTGAGCTTTGTCACAGTCTCCCGCATAGCGGAGAGGATCTCCCCATCAAGTTGCTCGCCTTGCGAGGAAGTCCCTATTCCTTGCATTCCACAGTTATAGAGAAGGAATTTCTTAGTAGGAAGCCCATATACCTTCCCCCATTTTGGACCGCCAGCAGCCTCCATCCACATTCTTTCAGCATCCTCGTCC